AGATGACGAGTTCTACCGAAATTCTATGAATCTATCATTCAGTCCTGCTTTATTAACCTTTATTGCTTGTTTTAAAAATTTGTGTTTTAGAAGAAAACTATCAAAATGAGATTCTCACTCTCAACATGAAACAAGTCTGGAGTTTATAGCTAAAATAAAATAGAGACAGGTGAACTATGCAAATAGTTGAGTAATTGAGCCACAAGTTTAATACTACTACTACTACAATAGAATATAATAAAAAGTCATACCAAGACACATACATTGTTAATGGCAATGAATACTTACATATATATATATATATATATATATATACATTTGGAATTTCTTAGTGTCTGTATATTTCAGATCACAAAGATACATTCCAGAAACAGTATGCCTTGTCAATCAGTCTTGTGAAATGTGTGAGAAATTTAAGAGTTTAGAAAAGAGGGGGAGAGAGAAAGAAGGAGTTCTGTAGACAATAACATGAAAAAAATGAGTATTCGAGGTATAGATTCCCTTTGCAATTGTAGGTAATCGCTTAAGACTACATGGGGATGCATAAGTGTTGGTGGGTTGTATATAATCTAGAATAGCTTGGTAATCGAATCCCATGTCGGAATAAAAACTGCTTCTAGACTTTATGATGGCTTGATATTCTTCAAGGATTCGTAGGCATGCTAGGCGTTGCCACTGGTGACTGACTTTTGACGCTGGGTTTTCAAAGTTAGCACTAGGGGGAAGGGGGAGTTATTTAATGACCAAAGCCATCTTGTTGTGTTCTAAAATACAGGGAATCGATTTCTCTGTCCTACTGTATAGCTGATCAAAACTTCCTTGATACATGCATGTATAGTCAAATAATGATCAGAAGACTGTAAAAAGACGGTTGTTCACCGTTAGATCTATGCACTTCTGTTCAATAATAATAATAATATCACCAAAAACTCTCGCTTACCTTAACAGTTCCGTTAGAAATCTATACAGGCTAAATAATATTTTTATTAACAAAATAAGTCCTAGGGAATAAAACGACAGTTGCAGAGAAGAGAATCTTCTTCTCGAGGAAATCATCAATTAGACAGAGCTGTACATTCGTGTATTTATGACAAATAGGTGGGGAAGTTCCAGAATCATTTCTGGTCAAGGGTCAGATTAACAGAATTACTATTAGGAATTAAAATGCCATAATAAACAAGGGGAAGAATAAAGCTCAGAGAAAGAAGCCTCATAATTACTGAGAAGATTGATATATTGTGCGATTGGACGTTAGAAATGTAGAAATAACAACAATAGACAGGATGTTTGGATAAAATATCTAGTGGGGTCATAACTAATGTGACGAATAGTTTAGATATGGTAGAGAAGATTTGCAGCTCAGGTGGTTGATTTTGATGTGGTTGTGTTCCCTGAGCTGGATGGCCAATTTGACGAATTATTGTTTATGCAATCAGGGATTAAATATGTAGCAATAAAAAAATGATAAAATAGACAGGAAGTTCGGATATAAAAATATGGTAGTGTAAATAGGGAATTAGAAAAAACTTGAAATATCATGAATAAACAGGAAGTTTGGATAAGAAAGGCGATGGGATAGTCACTATTAAAGGAATTGCCTGTTTATGATGGCCATGGCAGGGACAGGGGTTGGACGTATTTCTTTTGGATACATAGTGTGGGTTTTAGCTTTTGAATGGCTAGTGCCTTGGCTATGCCCAGATGTCTTAATTTTACTCCCTTTGATAGGTTTAATCGAATCTTGTATATTATATTGAAGGATTTTTATTATTTCTACATATTTAATCCCTGATTGCATAAACAATTATTCGTCACATTAGTTATGACCCCACTAGATATTTTATCCAAACATCCTGTCTATTGTTGTTATTTCTACATTTCTAACGCCCAATCGCACAATATATCAATCTTCTCAGTAATTATGATGCTTCTTTCTCTGAGCTTTATTCCCCCCCCCTTGTTTATTATGGCATTTTAATTCCAAATAGTAATTCTGTTAATCTTACCCTTGACCAGAAATGATTCTGGAACTTCCCCACCTATTTGTCATAAATACACGAATGTACAGCTCTGTCTAATTGATGATTTCCTCGAGAAGAAGATTTTCTTATCTGCAATTGTCTTTTTATTCCCTAAAAAAACAAAGTCCTGTTAATGAAAACTAGTTAACCAGAATTCAACTTTAAGAAGGACGTGATCAATAAAGTGGGATTTTTTGATTAGACACTAGTAATTAGTGTAATGTGTCTGGTCCTTTCTTTCGTGCAGACTAAATTCTATCAGTCAGTCTAGTTTGCAATGTGACCACCATTCTAGGTAACTTGCCATCACGGTGCACACGGATTTGAATGTATTAGATGGTTGGAGGCAATCGGCCACAGGAAGCCTTTCGTGACCTAGATTTCGTTCCAGTTGGCACTCAGCAGTCAGTAGGACTTATCTGCAGCCTTCTAAGATTCGAACTCGTGCCACCCAGTGGGCACTGCAGTCAAAGACATTACCAATGAGTGGGATATTCCCAACAAGGTATGGGATCAAATTCTATCAAAAAAATCGCAAAAGAACCAAACAGTTCTTGTAGACACTCTAGGGTCAGAATCCCTTTGATTCAATGAGGCAAAATCTCAGCCGTAACACAACACAATATAGCAATAGTACTCCACAGCTGCAAGGAGAAGCATTCAAGGATCCACGATGTGTACGTGTGCTTTGTGCGTCGGTGGTACAGCGGTTAGTATTGTCGCCGATCATGCAAATGGTTCGTGGTTCGATAATCTACCGATGCACATCTGATATCTATGGTCGGCCTGATATCATATGCTGAAAATTCCATACCAGTACCAAAAAATTCGGAGTAGTATCAAGCTGTACTTAAAAATAATTTTAAAAAATTATAAAATTTGAGATAGTAACAAAATGAATGTTTCCAAAGGTGTGCCATCAAAAATGTAGGTTATGCGCGACAATTACGTAATACAGAGAGCATTATTAGCGTAGAAATTAAAATGAAATTGATTAAGTAACACGATTTCATCTTAAAATAACATCGACTAGAGAACCATTTAAAAACCTTCAGGGAGTACTAGGCAGCCATCTGTTTCGTCATCCTAGTTTGGGACCCTTCAGCAGTAATAACCCACTACCAAGGTGGGTGATGGGTTACAAGGCAAGCTCGTAGACCATTAAGCCAGTGAGACTTGATCCAATGACCAGTCCATGACTTCCAACTTCTGCCAACTCATGATATGGCGCGACCACTAGTGAACGCCATCGGTGGTGAGTTTTGTTCTCACACCCGACCTGCTGTATCCCACTGGCCACAACCTCCCCCTGGAATCCGGGTAACTACCTACATGAATAGAGCCAGTTACCAGCTGGCTGAAGAATCCCAAACTAGGACAAAATAGCTGACTGTCCGGTAATCCCTGGTGGTTTTCAATGGTCCTCTAACTGATATCAGTTAATGATGAAATCCTGAAACTAATCAAATCCCTTCAAACTAACAATTAAATAAGTAATGACATAAAATTATTGACAGAAATAATTACAGTTCAAATTTGAGTTGAAGGAGAGTGAAGCAATGATCGTTGTCATTAGTAGTAGAAATATAATTGTGGGAAAGAATGGAAAATTATAAAATTTAAACAAAATTTTCACATCAAATAGTAAAACAAATTTAGGTCCATTTTCGGTTCAGTAAATCAACATATTTTGGTTAGCCCGCAAAATACCATAACTTTATTTATTTATTTTTTATTTATTTTTTATTTTTGATTACAGCTTGATTCCACACTTATTTTTGGTACAAGTATGGGATTTTCAACATGGATATCGGTAGCCCAAAATTCGCAGGCCGACCATAGATATCAGTTGTGCGTCGGCGTGGGCTCGAACCCCAGACCATGTGCATGGTCGGTGAGAGTCCTAACCACTGTGCCACCGACGCACCGACTTAAAGCATTTCGACCTGTACTTCTCTGTCAAGATTTCTGTGTACTCTGTAGATGAGTATAAAGTCAGTTAACAAGCTCATTTGGTGTTCGGAATCAATGAAAAAAGCTTCAGAATATAATCTCACCGGGGATCTTTCCTCTCCACTGTAAAACTATGAGTGTTAATATAGCAAGCAGTGAGTACAGACAACATATCTAGCTCCATAGGATCATGTGGACTGATAGAGATACACAGTGTCGAGGTCAGACGGTTTTCAATGAGGACTGAAAGTTTGATTGGGCACTAGTCAGTAACTGCTATAATATATCTATTCCTATCTTTGGTGCAGACTGAATTCTATCAGCCAATTTTGCAATCTGACCACTTTGGAGAGTAGTGGCTCTTCATCACAGTGCACTTTGAATTGTAGATATAAGGTGATTGGAGGCAATCGGAAGCACTCCTTGGACCGATATTTTGTGCTAGTTGCCACGCACCCGTCACCAAGGTGTATGTGTGTAACCTCGAAGGAAAATATTTTCCTTCTGACATTCAAACTCCTTTCACCCATTGCTACAGTCAGAGACGCGACTAGTACAGTCTAACAGAATGTCACTTGTGAGCCTGAATAGCTGTCCACTGGCAACGTCTCTGATAGCACCATTGGGAGATACTAGTTCGAATCTCAAAAGGCACACCTTTCTGACAGGTGAGCATTGACAAGCATAAAAGCTAGTTCAGTTAGGGCTTCCTATCGATTACCTCCAAATATCTTGGACCAAGAATTGAAAGTTGACCTAAACTTTACAAATGTATTATCTATTGATGAGGTAAGGAGTATTAAATTTGTTGTATAAATTTCGTCTCCGAAATAATATATCGATCCGAAATTAGAAATCAATGTCCATTTAGCATTCTCGAATATAATCTACATTTATATGCAAATGACTAAAACTCATCAATTCGCACACAGGCACAAATATTCAGTAGTATTTTTTTTAACAAATGAACATAATAAGAAATTTATACTTTCTTTCACCTCTTTTCTTTTACTTTTCACAAATCAGGTATATTTCCGATTCTCCCGTGGAACTTTAAGTGATCCCTTCACATATGATTATTTTAAAAATAAAGAACTTTTAATCCAACTGCAAGCACGCTGTCGTGGTTGGATATCAAGAAATAGATCTTCACGTGAAAGAGTAAGTTCATCTGATGGGAATTAGTTTTTATAACAGATTTTATTATATGCTTCCATATTAGTTTGTTAATTGGATGTATCACACAATCAGTGAAACAGTATTATGATTTACTGGATGCCACAGTTTCGAACACACTCTGTTATTGTTCATAATCATTTTATCAATTATAATCACACGACTTAGAAATTTCAGTTATATAGTTTTCTTTATTTCTTCCTATTCGTCGTCGTAGTGGTAGTAGAATTTTCCAGATATCTTGGTGGACAGGTGTTGAATCATTCCTATTACACGTATTCTCTCTCAGTTGATTCGATAAATAAAGCTTCTGTTATCAGTCTCTTCCTCCACCCGTCTGTTAAATCGGATTTTAAAACTGTCATCTTATCTCATCTGGCCTATTGGTGTGGTTGTGTGTAATTTTTTTTTTTTTTTTTTTTTTTTTGATTTACAGCTTGATTCCACACTGTATTTTTGGTACAAGTATGGAATTTTCAGCATGGATATCGGTGGCCCAAATTTTGCAGGCCGACCATAGATATCAAGTGTGCGCCGGCGTGGGCGATAGCTGAACTATTCTCTAGATTTCTTATCTTATTTGGGTCAACAAATCTAGGTTTTGCTAGGTTTAGTAGAATAGGGCCAGTCAGACTAGCCAAGACTAAAAACTTAGCAAAATCTAGATTAGCTGACCCGAATAAGATAAGAAATCTAGAGAGCAGTTCAGCTATATCACTCACTACATGCAATTACACACAACCATACAACAGATTGGATGAGACAAGGTCACAGATTTAAAATCTAATGTAACAGCTAAGTGGAGGGAGATATTGATAACTTACTGAGGCTTTGTTTATCGCATCAACTGAGAGAGAATACGTGTAATAGGAATGATTCAATACCTGTCCACCCATCCGGACAGCTTGGAAATTCTACGACCCGAACGACGACAAACAGGAGAGGACAAAACGAAAACTATAAAACTCACGTTTCGAAGTCGTGTGATTATAAGAAAAGATATAATTATGAACAATAATAAATTGTATTCGAAACCTTGTCATCCAGTAAATAATACCGTTTCACTTTGTGTGATATAGCTTATAAACAAAGTAATATGGAATTACTTACTACTACAGTGTCCAAATTTTACACATATATTTATTATATGTTAATGGCTATTATGAGTTTAATATTGTTTTACAGTTCATTGTAAAATTGAAATGATATTCTGTTGTGCTTTAATCCAGACAGCCTCTTTCAATATGTCATTTTCAATATATTGTACAATAAGGTTTGATTTCAAAGCTTAGTGTAGATTTTCTCACGATATTTATTGCTAAAATTATTCACTGAAATTTCGAGTGGACTGTTACCTTTCATTAACACATCTCTGTTTCATTCATTCCGCCAGAAGTTTTCCTTTATCTGGCTCCACAAATACTCATGAGTATTTATCTGTTACTCACACAATCTCCTTCATGTCATCCTCCAACCAAAGTGTAGCTTGTCATTTGCTATTCGACCTGCGCCTCAGGCTCTAGTCACTCAATGGACTCCTCAACATGTATCCAGCTCATCTTTGGCATATTTCTTGGTCAGTTGGTCCTTATTTGTTTCTTCTCGAAGATTCTTTGTCTAACCTTGGCTTCTGATGACAGGCGCTATATGTTTGCGAACCATATTAGAAGAAATGACTTGACATCGAAATCTCGTTCTTTATGTTCTTCATTTTATCACAAACCGACGCCATTTTTGGGGACCAGTGTGAAAACCAATGAAGAACTAGACGCTTAACTGTCTCATCTCAGACTAAAAATCACTGAAAATTGATACTCATAACTTCAGCAAGGATGCAATTCAAAGCCATCATGTTCCCAAAATAGTGTGCTACCTTTGTGTTAATAGGTTAGAGTCCAGTGGTGCGTAAATTCTATTCTCCGTTCATTCACCACTCATATATATCGTAAGTTTAACAATATCAAGACACTTTATTAGTCCGACCGCGGATATTATTACCCCATTGTTGTGTACCTTGGCAATCACAAAAATGCAGAAATAAATCCTGTGGATATGATATTGATATTGTTCACCTTGGTTAGTCTATCAGTCTACATTCAAACTGCTGTTAACTGAGCAGTAATCCAATGACGAATATCAATAGCTAAGATACTATGATTTGTTGTAGATTCTATCAGATGATATTCCTAAATACAATAATAGTAATCTACTTTATTCTAAAAACAGTACTTGTAAAACAGAATGAAATTCTCAGCATCTGTCATAATATTACATCTGATTTACTCAAAATACTAAAAAAAATCAAAAACTAAAACAAAACTGACCAGAGGAATTTGTCCACATTTACTACATAAAGTCAGAAATATTCGAAGTACAAACTGAGAATAATAAATATAATAATAGTAATAACAGTGAGTTTGTTTCAAACAGCATTGTCGATTCAGTTTGGAAATTCCAACGTCTTATAGAGTATTGAGTCTAATGTTCTGTTGATGAAGTATAGTGAGGGGAAATACAAAATAAACAGTTATTCACACAGCTTAAATGATGTTCACATTTATGAAAAAATAAACAAATCAAAACAAAAAAATTGAGATGATTGTAAATAAAAGAAGTACAAAAACAATAAAGCTTGGTGGAATAAGAATGGAGAAAATGGTTTATTTAGTAGTGCAAAGAAGGTCAGTTAGTTCATGCTTAACACTAATTGCATCACATAAAGTACGTGACACAAAATATGGTATCGGGAAATTTCTATACTTGGACGTACGTGCATAAAGTCTTCTGATGAACTGACTTCTTGTTTTACCTGGGGAGACACAAGTTTGGAGCTTTGGGTGCTGCGGTGGATCCTCACAGTCTGACAAAATCACTTTAACAAACTTGTTGAATGAAATCAAGTGCCTATCAATAATGACTATGTCAACAATATAGCCCAATGGGATAGGATACCACTCGCCCTACTGACAGTTAGTCCTCAGAGTTCTACGAAGTAATATGGCTTTTATACTCGGAAGATTACACTGTAGTAACTTACAGTGTCTCAACTGTCTTCATCATTAACTTCACTTTCCCTTACGAATCAATCAATGGTTCACCGTAGATGTTTTCCAGCGAATTCATCTTCCTAAGCTGTCCAAATGCATTTATATACAATTATTTTTTCATGAAACATGGTAGTAACAACAATGATGAGTTGTCACAAACAAAATAGTCAGTGCCACGTATCGATCAAATCGCAACACTACGGATCATTATGGAACAGAGCATGGAATGTCAGTCACCTCTCTACCTACCTCTCTACTTCATTGATTTTGAAAAGGCCTTCAGCAGACAGCGTCGATAGAGTGGTGATTTGGTAAATACTTCCCTATTACGTGGTGCCGCCGACAATTATACACTTCATTAAACAGTTGTACGACAACACTGCATGCCAATTAATCCACAACGGAAATCTCACGGAAGCCTTTGAAGTAAAGGCGGTTTCGACAATACAGGTGAATCGGCTACAGAGTAATTTGGGCAAATTACTTTTCGTCTCGTAGACGACTATAAAGGTGGAGGCTGTATAGATAGGGTGACCAGTGGCGACCAGATTTTCAAGAGGGTGCAAGAACACTATCCTTCATGTTATGCGAATAGGTGAAACTTTAGCAATAAGAAGCACGATCATTGAACATCTGATCACCCTATCTCTATAGCCTTCACCTTTAAAGTCACCTACAAGGCGAAAAGTGACTTGGTCAAATCACTACGTATCCAACTCATCTGTATTGTAGAAACAGCTTTAACCGTCGAAACAGATAAATCAGATCTTCATATGCAGAAAAAGTTCATTCAACTCCAACTTTCATGATCTTAATCCCTCTATGCTAAAGTATGACAATCCCTAATCATATTTTGGCTCTATCAAATCTTTTTATTTTGCCTATTCAATTTGTATATTCTTCCTTTATTCCATCAATTGTACATAAATACGATGGTACAACTGAGGAGCAACACGAATTCTCCGAAAACATTCACTCTTCGTGTAACTACCTTGTTTTCATGAATCAACAGTAAAATTTAAAAAAAAAGGATTTTTGTTTTCACCCTCAATTTTCACCAAATGTCAATATTTTTAACACAGGCGTTCGAAACTATGGGTACTGGGTTCGAGCCTCAGTGAGAACATCATCACTCACTGAGAAATTCAGGTACATCCAGCTGACGAGTCCCAAATAGGACGAAATGCGCATCCTGGATTCCACTGCTAGCCACCATCCACCAATTGTATACAGATGAATTGAGTTAATATGAAAGCAGAACAATTTCGGACTTTATAATCTGCAATTGTCGATGAATATATATATATATATAGTATATATTCTTTTCAATAGTGGATATATTATACAATACATAGAACAAATCTATATTCTAGAAGTACATCACACGTATGATAACGTGTTTGTATACAAAAATTTGTATGTGTGTGTGAGTACGTGCGTGCGTGCGTGCGTGAGTGAGTGTATATGTGCGCGTCTATAGCTGTAGATGTATTGGCGAGTGCACTTACTTTTTAGTAGGCTAACTGTGAATATGATACCTGAATACCAGGCTGATCAATATTTTCTATCATTTAAATATGCACAATTAAATTTGTTACAAAACTGTTGTTATAAAATTTTTTTAAAATAATAAAATAAACAGTTAATAATGTATTATTCTAGAAATTATTAAACCTGCTTTCTTTTACGATTATTAATATCTAAGAATTCAGCAATTCATATTTGGGATAATGTGTTAGGTTAAACTATACACTACTGTAACGATAGAAAACAATAGCCAGGCAACAGATCGTTTAATGGGGAAATCAACAGATGTGTATATTAGATGGAGGATTTCATCATGAGATGACATCAGTTAGACAACCATTGGTAAACCTGCTGGGAGTGGAGCACTGGACAGCTGTCACCTCCGTCCTAGTGTTTGGGACTCACCAACCA